CAGAATCCCTCTTCTGCGTCATTCTCTCGCTCCTGAACCACCTGGACCCCATCGCACCTTCCGTGACTGCTCACTCCGCGATCACCCCCAGCGGCCGATGCATAACTTGGGGACCGTGCCCTGGCGCCCGTCGTGGCGCCCTCCCGGTGGCCAGCGCTCTTCTGGACCACAGGACCAGTGTTCTGTTGTTTGTGCCCACACAAGATTTGGAGCTGGGGCAGGAATAGGAGGTCGCACGTCTGTGGCGGAAGGATGAGGGAAATTACAAGCGAGGAGAGAGTGTCCGCCAGTGGAGCTGCTCCTGTCGGCGCGCTCTTTCCAAGGCTTGGGTGCAGAGGGTGGCACCACCGCCACCTGACCTGCACGCTCTAATCCTGGCTCGCAGGTCACCCACTCCTGCTGGGGCTGCCCTTCCGAGGAAATGCAGCCTAGGACCTGAGCAGCTGGGCTGCCTCGCGCTCCCTCCCGGTACTGGGCGGGGTGCGCCGGAACGCGGCCGGTGTGCGGGGCTCGGGCGCCCCCTGGCGGTGGCAGTGGTGGGCCCCGCAGGTTTCTCCTGGCAGAGGCGATGCGACCTGGGGACTTGGGTTCCGCGCGGGCAGCATGCATGCATTTCTCCATTTGCTCGGGTGGCGGCGCTGAGACCTATTCGCCTCTTTATTAATAATGATGCCCAAGGAGGGGGAAAAAGCATTAGAGCCTTTAAAAAGCAGACAGGGTGGGAGAGGGTAGGGTGTGTGTGTGTGTGTGTTGGGGAGTTGGTGAAAGCAATAAAACTCAGATCGCTTCCTTGGAGAGATAGCAGTGGCTATAATGCGCTGGGGGGGATCAGGGGTTTATTTGCAGATCCTGGATAAAAGATGATATATCGACGCAGTTTAGAGTGTCATTGCGCCTGGCCTCTCAGGAAGCCACAAGTACATATTTCCTGAAATACCGGCCAACGCAATATCTAATCCACACGCCACTTAAGCGTGGGAGGAGAACTCAGCATCTTACAAGTTGGCTCCTGTATTCCTAGTTCTGGGTGGGAAGAACCCACCCTAGCAGGATCTGGTGTGCCTGAACGCCCCCTCCCCTAGCCTTGTTTTCGGGCCAAGTAGTCACTTAGTGATAGCCCTTAATAAAAACGTCTGAGAACTGTCCTTATGCTCAGTAAATATTGGATTAGCTTTTCAATGACCAAGCTCTTGAAAAGGCTCGAGAAATCCACACCAGGTCTCAACTAAGCCCAATAGTCAATAGGTAAGGAAAATAAGTTATTTCCCTGGCTGGGGTGGGGGGCATTGAGATGCACTGATAACTCCTATCAAGTTATATGAGTCTACTAAATATGCCAGTAGAACTAAATAGGAAAGGGATGGCCAAAGTGTGAATTCACTGAAATTTCCACCATCTCAGTTGTGCCCATTAAGTACTGTCTTTGCCTGATGGGGACACGTGTGTTCTATATTTACTTCCACATTGCTCTGCATAAGCTTTTTGTTTGTTTTAGCACTTATTTTTTGTTGGGGAGGCTCCTGGTGGGAGTTTTTGACCCTGTATTGGGGGAGGGGCATGGCCCAAATGATCTGCGACTGCCACGGGGTAACTCAGGCTGCTTAAGAGAGGCAAAAACGGGCAAATTCATGGGAGGCTTTGCTCTGTCTCCCTGTTGTTGAACTTGGCTGACAAAACGATGCAGGAGACATTGAAAATTAAAGAGGAATTCCCTCTCTCTTCCAACATAGGGTGCGAGGGCTGGTGAAAGAAGTTTCTAAATTGGTCTTCTTCCTGTCTCCCTGAGATGACAGTGTGATCACTGGGCATCATTCGAATGACAGGGGGTTGGCAACCACTGGTATGGCTAGGGGTAAGTGGCTCACAACCGGCTGTGGCCCAAATCGATCTGGGCCCACGACTGAGTACTCCTTTGGCCTCTGGAACCTTTCTTGCAGTGCGTGGAGGGGTGGCTACGTGCGCTGGCTGTCGTGACCTACCCAGTGTGGGCACAAGGGGATTAGATTTTCATTTACCCCAGATCCGCAAAGCTCTCGGCATCTGAGCATCCCCCAGGCCCCATGCACCTCGGGTCTCCTCCCGAGCCCGGCCACAGTTCGCTAGTTTTGACGCCGGACTCCCAGAGGGATGAAACCTAGCTGCCGTCCTGGCGCCCAGGAGCACACAACGTGCCAGCAAGGAGCCCAGACTCTGCAGGTGGACAGTTTGCAGAACCGAGCCTCAGCAGCAGAGCCAACATTTGGTAGGAGAGACAGAGACAGAGACAGGGACAGAGACAGGGAGAGAGGGAGAAAGAGAAACTCAGCCTCCCACTGTGTCACAGGGCCTAGACGGGGCAAGCGCCCTCTGAAGCTATCAAAGACAGGGGTGGCTTTTTCCCCTCCTGCTGCCTCCTCCCCAATAGATATAGCACGAATTTTTAATGCGTCTTCCTTTCACAGACAACAATACAGGGTTTGAAAGCCGGACACAATTTGGGTTTTGTGCGGGTCCCTCCTCGCGCTGCCTCGGCCCAGCTGGCCATATGGAATCCAGCATGGAGCCCGCGGATGACAAAGGGACCCAGTGACAGGCCCAACAAAACCCCAAGGAGACTTCTGCCTGACTCCGGGATTCACTGCCCGCGATAAGCGCGCTGAATGGTGCGGGGCCGAGGGGGAGGGCGGGCGGGCCCCCTCTCCTTCCCCTCTCTCTGTCCCCTACGATCCTTTCTCTGTCCCTTTTTAATATGCACGCCTCTAACATCCTCGGCTCCCAGCTCTCCCATTGTGCCGTTTTGTGCGGCCCGCTGTAGATTGGGCGAAGATAGACTGCCAAAGGGGACGCCGCGCCGGGTACGCTCCCAGGGCGCTGGGGTTAGGGCCACACAGTGCTCCGCAGGCGCTTTTATTGACTCCAACGGGACCGGAGGACAGAGCGGCGGGCGCCGGGCCCACCTCCCCGACTTCGGCTGTGTGAGCAAATACCCAGACTGCAGGCCTGCCCGGCTGGCCTCCACCCCAAACTCGCCCTCAATGCACACACAGTGGAAGGCCGAGCAAATTTGGGCCTTCCATGCCGCCTCTTTCCTCCCTGGAGGTCTGGGGGCTCCTAGTTTTTTCTTGATTCCGCCCAAGCCCTGGAGCCTGGAACATCCAGTAGCAACTGGAATCTCGAGGCTGTGCCTTAGGCTTCAGGACAACCCCATTCGAAGAGGCTCTGAACTCTTAGCTCCCTTCCCGGTGGAGTCATGGGTTACATACACGGAAGCTACAAGAGGGCTGTGGGGTGGTTAGTATCAGGGCAAGATGGGCATTGACAACCGCACCACAAACGATTAGGGCAGAATTCTCCTGGCCTTCACAAACAGCAAGAAACAACAAACCCCAAACGTTTCCAAGGTGGTGTGGGAAACATAGGGAGACTTTCTAGCGTATAGAAAAAGCTGAATGAAGGAGGCTGGAAAAGGACATTTAGAGGATATTAGGAAGATGCTAGCGCCCTCAATTATCCAGGCGCGGGCGCGCGACGCGGGAGTAAAGTGTAATCACGTCCCTGGGTGTGTTGCGCTGAGAGCTATTGACGCGCAGATTCGGTCACTGGGATAATCATGTTTACTTTAGATATTGAATTAAATCTGATTATCAACTAGAGGGAGTGGGAAAGTCAGCTGGGACCACTCCCTTTGCTCAGCCTCCTCGTACCCCCCGCCCCTGGCTCCCCACCAGCGGTTAAGGTTGAGCTCTAAGGAAAACGAGATACAATTTCCGAATGGGGCCGACTGTCAATCCCGAGGAGTCTCAGAGCGCCCGCTGGGCTCTGAGTTATGCAGCCCCTGGTATTTTCGAAAATCCTCCACATACGGGAGAGAGGAGCCCCCTCCGGTCAAATCAGCCTGGCCCCCCCGATTCGCTCCCCACCCCCCGTCAAGTGTGCTCCAGCATCCACCAAGGAGATCTCCCTGCGATGAGGGTGGCATGGAATCAGTTCTTCACTAGGGAAGGACCGACGCGCCCTCGCCCGGGCGAAGCAGGGGCTGTTTGCTCACTGTCCGCTTCATTCACCTCAACCCTGGAGGCCGGGCGCATCACCCCCACCTCCAAACCCCTACTTTCTGGCAAGCAATTCACCCAGCTTCACGCCGAAGAACTGGCCGGGGGGGTGGGGGCCTGCGTACTGGCAATGCTAGGAGCGGACGAGGCACGGGATCCAGTCTAGGGAGGGGTCGGAGACCCGGAAAGGATGGGGACAGGATTTGTAGGATCGCCGCTGACTCCCTCTGCCTGGCGCTCCTCGGCCGAAGAGCCCAGAGGCTGCAGCCCCGCCCTCCCTTCCGCGCGCCCGGGTGTCCGCTTCCTTCCTGATTGCCTAGCCTCGAACGCCCCCAAACACGCCTCTCCTGCCAAACCCGGCACAGGTCCAGGGGCGGTCTCTTAGGCCGCAGCGGGTCCGCGGATTTTGAAAAGGGGGTGGGGAGCAGAGAGAAAGCCGACCAGTCTCAACCTCAGAGGCCCCCTCTCCTTCTTACGCGAGGTAAATCAAATGCAACAAAGTGAAAGTCATCGAGTGTAGTGGCTTCAACAGCTTCTCAGACTGAAGGAGCCACTCGTAGATTTGGCCGGACAAGGGGGGCTTGCTCTCCTCGCCTTTGGGTTTTCCAAAGTCACTTTTCCTCCCAAAGCCAGGACACTGCCGCCCCTGATTCAGACAGCTCGGGAGACCAGGAGAGAGGCCAGGAGAGGGCGGGCGACCCCGGGCTTCGGGTCGACAGCTCGCAGGCCCAAGGCCAAGCGCTCCGCCGCGTCCGGGGGTTCGAGGCGCGGGACCTGGTCAGCCGGTTAGGCTGAGGCCTGTTTGGAGCCTCTCCAGCGTCCGGCCCCTTGGTCCCCGCACGGCGGAGAAGCGCTGGCGAGAGCGCCCAAGGGGCCTGGCTGGGGTCCTTGCCCTGGCCCGGCGCTGGACGACAAAGTAAGACAAACGGGAGGGCTGGGATCGAATTTGTTTGTTTGTTTTAACACAGGATTTTTATTAAAATTCTTTTTTAAAAAATCGAAAGCTTTCAGCGCCCGGCGCTCTTGAGAACCCGCACGGAACCGCTGAGCTCCAAGTTCCGGGGCCCAGGACCCGGAGGATAGCGCAGTGGGCTTCTCGCCTACCCATTTTTTTCTTTTTCATATTTGAGAAATGTTTGCACTGAAGAAAATAAAAAAAGAAAGCAGGGGTAACCAAACATAAGAAACCAAGCAAACCACAAAGAAAAGGGTTGAGCCCTGAGGGGCAACAGGCCCACGCTGAAGGTCATTTTGGCAACAGTCACCACGCATATTTACAACGAAAACCGAAATCTGCCACCAGTTGTCATAATGTTTACATGGCCATAAATATTTAGCATTTTCTTATTTTAAAAAACGTGAAAAATCCTTTATCTTTAGAGTGTTCTCCACTTGCTTTAGAAGACTGCTGACAATATCGCTACTCACACAAATATATTTTACAAAATTCACAATAACGGGTGTGTGTGTGTTGGTCTTTTTTCGTTTTCAAGTGAGTTCGTTAATGCTGGGACGCGATTTGGTCCCCCCCACCCCCGCCCCCCGGAGAGGCAAAGAAGTGAAGCTGCTCAAACATTCTGTAAACACGGCTTAGAGTTCAGTCCTCTCCAAATGTTCAAAATGAGAGAGGGACGGGGCAGAGCTGGGTGGATGGAATTTGCCACTCCAAGGAGACTCAGGCAACCTCCGGCGCCTCCCCAAAAGAGCCAAGAGTCAACTCGACTCTACAATAAAATAATAATATTAATAATAATAATAACCATCATAAGGACTGAGTCCTCCTCGACCCTCGCCGCCGCCGCCACCGCCGGCGGGATGAGGCCTGGGCCTAGGGCCGCGAGTCTCGGAAGGGCGGCCCTCACCAAGTCCACTGCTGGGCCTGGACCAAGGGGTGTGCTGTCGGGTACTGGGGCGTGCTGGCCGAGCTGTAGTGGGCGTTGTATTGCATGTGCTGCAGAGACTGCGCGCTGTAGGCCGAAAAGGGAATTCCCGCCTGGAAGGTGGCGGCTGCCAGGTCCTGGGCTTTGAGCGCGTGGCACGGTTTGCCGTCCCTGACCAAAACGGGCACGGCCACTCGGCGCGGCGAGGGCAGGGGCGTCACCTCCATACCTTTCTCCGCCCGGGCGCGCTTCATCTTGTAGCGGTGGTTCTGGAACCAGATCTTGACCTGCGTGGGCGTGAGGCGGATTAGGCTGGCCAGGTGCTCGCGCTCGGGCGCTGACAGGTACCGCTGCTGCCGGAAGCGCCGCTCCAGCTCGTACGTCTGAGCCTTGGAGAACAGTACCCGCCGCTTCCGTTTCTTGCCAGGGTCCCCTCCGCCTCCCGGGGTCTCCTTGTCATTGTCCGGTGACTCGTCGGCCGAAGGCTCCGGAGATTTTGAGCTCGAGTCCTGGGGTGCAGCGCCAGCCGCCAGTCCGTGCACTGGGGGAGAGAGAAGCGCGTCAGGGGTCTGGAGGCCGCGCTCTGGCTGGACCAGACCCTAAGCGCCCCGGTCTTCCGTGCGCGCTCGGCCTTCCGCACCCCGCAGCCCAGCCCAACTGCCTTTGCCTTGACTCCCGCCCTGCTTCACGCGTGATAAAGTCATCGGCTTTCGCCAGAGGAAAGAGGGGAAGCGGCCAGGAATGGGGGCTTAGGGATCGCGTTCCTAGGGTTTCGCACAGTGTGGGTGCGTATTTGGGGGAGTGGCAAACGGAGAAGATCTTCGCGGATTAAGGGCTCCGGCCCCCTTAAGCAGTTTCCTCTCTGGCGAGACGTGGGCAGATTTTTAAAAGAAATATCCCACAATCCCGGCATTGATCGGCTCAGCCATTTAAGGCAGGTTTTTGGGGGCTTTCGTTATTGCTTTCGGACTTTCTGGACACCCTTCGCTCCGCACAAAGCGTGCTCTATGATCGAGTAGGGAGCAGGGTGAGCTATTTATACCCAGGCCACCGGGAGTCTCCCCCACCCTCTACCCGTACCCCGAGGCTTGTTGGCTCGCTCCAGTGCTTTGGGCAGTCCACCCCGGCTGTCGGAATGGGGGAAGGGGGCCTCCGACCGAAGCCATAGGTTCTGGTTAACATCTGTAACCAGCCTTTTGGGGATGTATCGCCCTCCCCCTCTTCCTCCTAATTTGTCGCTTTTAAAAAATATGAGGCCATGGGACTAGGGGAGCTTGACAGGTAGGAAAGAATTAGGTATCCTAAACAAGTGTCAAAAATCATTCCAGTAGGGTGGGGTGCGGAACCGGGCTTGATCGCGGCCTTTCCCTTTCTCCCCCAGCGCCCAGCCTGGGCTGCGGCCACTGTCGGGTCGGCCAAGTTTCGCTACTTACGGGAGTACTGGAGGCCCTCGGTACTGGCCAGCCAGCGCGTATATGGGTTGTCGCTGCTGTCGTAGAAGGGGTTCTTCAGGGGCAGGCTCGGCACTGTGTCCAGGGCGCCCTGCCCCAGCGGCCCGGCCCTCTTGGCGGGCTCCGGCCCCTCGTTCTCCTCCTCCGGCCCTTCGGCCACCGAGCCCTCCTCATCGTTGGTGTCAGGCAGGTCCAAGATGTCCTTGACCGAAAACCCGGTCTTTGTGTTGGTCAGAGACATGGCTCAGGACCCCGCAATTTATGACGCAAAGTTGTTATCTTCACTTGGTCAATTCGTGGTGCTCTCCAGTTGGGGCGGGGAGGGGTATGGGGTGAGGGGTTGGGGGAGGGGGAGAAGGGGATGGGCTTTAATTATTGAGATAATTATTATTTAAAAAAAAGAAAATAAACTACGGGGAAGGGGTGGGGGTGGAGGGGAAGCCCAGAGCAGTTCCCGTGTCTTCTCTGAAAGCACACGGAAACGGACACAGGGACTGGGCGGCCTGCGCGCCAAGCGCCCTGGGATGCGCCCCAGTTTGTAACTCCAGGAGGGGTGCCAAGGCGGCGTCAGCTCGGGCTCTGGCGGCCGCTCGGCGCGCGGTGGCGGCTGGTGGCGAGGAAGAAATGGGCCATTGCCCGAGCGATCAGTCCATATAAGGCTGGGCTCCACTCACGAACCTGGGGAGGGGGGTAAGAGGGGGAGAAAGAGAGGGAGGGAAAGAGAGAGGGAGGGAGGAGGAGTAAGAGTGGGAGCGAGAGAAGGGTGGAAAAAAAGGGGGGAGACATTAAAACGCAAAGGTTGGACACGTGTGGGCGGGTCTTGGAAGTCAAGTGGATGAAGACAGTATTTGCAGATGTGAAATTGTGGGTTTTGGGGAGCTCCACGCTCCCAGCCAACTGCCCTCTAGAGCAAGATGAGAGGTGTAACGTGTCAATTAATTGCAAAGACGGGCGAGCCTTTTTTTTACCCAGTATTTACATACAAAGGACCACCGCGTCGCTCGCGAGTCCACACTTGAAAGGGCCGTTTCAACAAATTGCATCTTTTAAAAAGCGGGGAAGGAGGAGAGAAAACAAAACAGGAACCAAGAGGTGGGAAAAAGAAATCCTCTCTTAACATTCACCGGTTACTACCTCCCAGCCCTTGCAAGCCGGTCCCCAACAAGCCGGAAAATTGCTGATTGTGGAGCCTCTGGAAAAGGGGGAGGGGGCGAAGGCTGAGCCGCGGAAATCTCTCCTTCCCATCGCTGGTGGTTCCCAAAACAAGATCCGGTTCAAATGGCAAGAGCCCAACTTCTGTAAGCCTCCTAGGTCAATATTTTGGTTGAGGCTTAAGGATGAGTACTAGAAATGACAAGGCAAGTAATTGATTCTAGTTAATGCGAAAGAGCCCGGAACCCAGGAGAGGGGTGGGCTCAGGGCCGGTCGAGCCGCCGCCAGGCGTCCCCCTCCGCGTCCCCCAGTCCCTGGACGGCCACCCTATATTTGCTAAAGACTTGTTTATTTCCTTCACTTCGCCTTCCTCAGCCCATACCCCCTCCATTTCTTTACGGCGGAGGAGGTCTGCGCGGCTCGCTCTCGCTTTGCGGGCGGCACAGCGCGGAGCGGAGGGGGTGGACTCTAACGTGGGCCCGGTTCGGTCCCCGGCTCCGTCGCCCCTGGGCTCCGCGGCGTCCTCCGGGTGGAGGGAAGGGCAGCCGGCCCCGCGCCCTTCCTGCCCCCTATTATGCGTGTCACTGCAGCCCCTCCCTCTCCGGCCTCCGGCTGTGGAGCGCCGGCGGGAAGGGAGAGGGGAGGGTGGGGCCAGGGGCTGTCTCCAGCCGGGGCGAGGACCCCGATAGCCGCGGGGGAAGGGTCTCAGGGCGGGCGGATTTTTCTCTGGAATTTTGTTTCTCCCAAGCAGGTCCCTTAACTTCGTCTCCTTTCGGACGCTCAAGGAGCGCAATTCCAGGACACGCTCCAGTCTCCCTGCTCGCGTTAGGTTTGTGTGAAATTCCCACCCTCTCGCCAGCCTGGGAACTAAACTTTGCGGGGACAGCACCTCCTCCTCGGCGCCGGGCAGGGAAAGTCCAGGCCGCACTTCCTGCGCCTCGTTCTAATGTTTTGGTGGGGGGATCATGGGGGTAGGTTGGCTACCTGATGCTCGTCCGCCCCAGAAGGGCGTCAGGAAGGTGCTTTGCCTGGGGGAGGGGCGGGGACAGAAGGGCGGCGTGGGTGCAGGTCTCGCCGTCCCCTCCGCGCGGGCCGAGCAGAGCGCGCGAGCCCGGGGTCTTCGCAAGCAGTTACTGTGGCCGCCGAGCCCCTGCCACCCCCGGGTTGCCCGCGCCCTGCGAGGGCGCCTCTCCCAGAGCTGCTCAGCGGCTTTCTGCAGCCCTCGCTGCCTCGCCCCCAGTATGTGACGTGGGTGACAATGGCCCAGGTTAGAGCGAGCTCCTCGTCGGCGCGTCCTGGGTGGTCGGACCCGGGCAAACACAAATACAAACCGATTGCTAAGCTGCGGACAATGAGCGAAATGTAGACAAATGTCCCGCTCCCGTTGGAAGCCTTTGTCCCGGCTCGGTTTTTGCATTTATTTCAGTGGTGAAATAATACATGATTGACGCTCTCTTTCAATGTGTCCTAACTGTTTGGAATAAATCTAAGGTTGTTCCTAGTTGTCATGGCATTCAACCCTTTTCAATGGACTATCTCTTCATTCATTTCTGAATCCGTCCACAATATTAGGAAACCCCTTCATGTCGACGCTCCCCATTCCTCTTTCTCCTACTTTTTCTTTTCTCCTTTCCCCACTCCTTCTTCTTTTTTTCCCTGCAATAACTAGAAACTGGTTTGAATCGTGTTCCTCGAACCCGTTACTTTTCATGCTTTTTTCTCTTTCCAGTCTGTCTTTCTCAGCCTCCCCCTCCCCCTACACGTGGGAGCTCTCTGCCCTGTCTAGTCAGAGGAGGGAAATTGGTTCTCCTGGAGTCGGGGAGGCCCGGAGTTTGGACACAGGGGCGGGGAGGGCCATTGTTACTCAGCTGCTAAATAAATAACTGACCAGAAAAAATTCCTTAACCCAAGCATTGCAGAAAAGACCCTCCTGCGGTCCCTGCTCATATTCCTCTCCCAAATAGGGGCATCTCTTGGGGACCAGGGCAGGCTCCATTGATGGGGAAGGGCCAAAAATGAGTCTGCTTGGGCCAGGCCGATTCTTGGGTTGGGTGGAAAATGGTGAGGTGGAGGGGTAGTCATCCCCATGTGCCGTCCACGGAGCTTGCTCATTTCCTCACCTTCGAACCTAGTTCCATTCAGTTCCCAACTTCTCCTTCCCTTCCCCCAACCCAGTGGGCCTTTCTCCTGGGATCTCATCAGACTGCGTCGTTTCGTTGTCTCCTCCCCTCTTTTCCCCCTAGGAGCCTGCCTGCACTGTTGGCAGAGCACCTGAGATACCACTGTTTTCCTACGGGGGCTCCTGGGAATTAATCATGGACTAGGAGTGCTGTCAATGGCGCAGTGAGAAGGAGACCCTCAGCTCAGTTCACGGAGGCGGGGCTCCTCACAGCCCCTGTCCCGAGGCCTCAACCAGCCGTAATCCTTCCACGCCAGGTCGCAGCGTCCCCTTCCAGGAGCACTTGCGGGCCACACTTCCGCGTCTGCATAGGCCGTCGTCTGTATCTCCACTCCCTCCTCCACCCTCAGTCCAGCCTCCCTTCAAGCTGCCTCGCTCTGAGCCCTGCGAAGCCGCGTCCGCTGCGCTCAGAGACTATAGTCTGGGACCTAGTGAGTCCATTTTCCCCGTCGCCTCGTCGTCCGGGTCGCTCCCTCGTCCGCTTCCAAAGTGCTTACATTTGCAGTTGAAAAGACGCAGGGAGACCGCTGGGAGGCTCATAATTGAAGGGGAGAAACTCGGCTTGTTAGAGAAAGATCATGAAATACAAGTCCCCCAGGAGTGGCCTGCGGATGCCTGGAGGCCATCGCGGGACCAGCTGGGCCCAAAGCACGCTCCAGAGTCTCTCCGTTTTCATGCGCCCGGAAGAGCTCGGGGGCAGGCATCAAACGTACACACCCCAATTAAACAGGTGACTGCATTCCGGGGTTCCCCAAGATGTCCCCTTGGGTAGCATCACAGCCTGGCCTTTTCAATCCCGGGGGGCTCCTATTCAGCGAGATCCCGCACACCCAACAGGCTGAGAGTTTCTGTCAGTTCTGAACATATTGATGTCACCTTGCGCCAGATTCAGCTCTACTTAGATGTGTCTAGTCTTAGAGTTTACCAAATTATTTCCAGGTTCCATCTTGCAGCCAGGAGAAAACGTCCTGGGTCCCATCATGTTTGGGCTTTGGCTCTGCCGCCGGCTTTGGGGAGCTCCTGGGAGGGCTCTGCCAGGGACCTTCTGCTGCAAACTCCGGGACGAAGTTGACGTTGGTGCTAGAAGTTTGATCTCAAGGAGACACGTTTGGTTCTCGGTGGTGTATGAGGTCCCCTGTCCCAGGTCTTTATTCCCAGCGTGGAGCTCTAAGTTGCTTACAAATCTCTAATTGTATTCCTCCTTCCTTTAGGATGGGCGCAAAGGGAGCTGCAGGCCTCGAGGGAGGAGAGGGAGAGGAGGAAGAGAATCTTTGTCCCTAGGGGCTAGAGGGAACCTTCTTTGGGAGGCTTTTCAGGCCGCTGAGCTCGTTTGCCGCTTTGATTTCGGAAGGACTGAAGCGCGGGCGGCTGGAGAGGGCGGCTGGGAAGCTGAACAATCGTTGGAGGCCCAGGAGGGGAGGCGAATGTACACAGGCTAAGTGGCCCCACTCCAGGACAAGTGGCCCTCCAAGTCGGCCCAGTGTTTACCTGTTTACTTTCCCAGGTAGCTCAAACACGAGCGCCTTTTCTGAGCTCTGGAGCATGGGAGCAGCCCTGGGCGCTTAGCCTTCCCAGCTAGTCACCTCCCCACACCTCGGCTTTACGCCCCCTGTTGGGGGAGGAGTGAGGTCTAAGCAGCTAACAAGGCAAAAAAGGAAGATGTTTTTAGAGAGTGCGGAGAGGTCTGGACACAACTCACGCAAGGCATCCTGGCTCGGTGTGCCCTGTTGGAAGTGGGCGTGCTGGGTGGCCCCAGTTTCTCCTCTCTCATCTCCGCTCTGGGCTTCAGGGTCTCTAGGGAGGCGTTTTGCTCACATCCTTACCAGTTCAGGCTGGTGAAAGCCTGCTGGGTAGGTGCGTCCTCCAGGGGAGTTTAGAGCAGAAAAGTCCGGGGCGGGTGGTGAACCTTGGGGCCGACTTTAAAGGAGGGTGGCCTTGAGGATCCCAAAGCTTACGCGGCACCCCTCACCCTCTCCACTCACAAAAGTGCTTCCACTCATTAAAAATACAAGGTCTTTTCCCATTATTTGGAACACTAATTTGTTTGACTTCTTTTTTTTCTGTCTTTTTTTCTTTTTTGGAATGAAAAGAGGTTGAAAAGAAACTCCTTCCCTGGTACAGTATGTGGCTGAGCTCTCAGTCCCCCTCACACCCCATTTCAGATAACAACCTTCAAGTGGATTAGTTTATTGTCTGGTTAGCACCAAGGTGCAAGCGTTTGTCTTTATTCACTCATGAAACAAAGCATGTTGTACCTTCCTGCTACGGCAAGGATTAGCGGCACCAACACAAAGGTTTTGTGGGAGGGGGAAGGTTTATTTTATCGCGGGTTGGAGACTTGGAGCGTGGCAAGCCCTCGAAATCAACGGGGAAGGAAAATGTCGCCCAGTCTGGTCCCTGAGCCTGGTCATCAAGATGTTCACCTTTAAGATGCACACCTCCAAAGCGATCCCGATGGAGGCTTTGATGTCATGTGGGGGAATCAGGACTACAGAAAACAGGGGTGTTAGCTCCGGAGTCCAGGATGAAAGAAGTTGAGGGGTGTGGCCCAGGTTACCACCCCAAGCAGAGACCTTTCCTATCCAGAAAAGAGTCAGGTTTGTCTCCAGTGGGTCCAAGCACCAACTGGCATCGCCTGCTGTTCCCGGATAAAGGGAACCAAGATCTCTGCAGCCTGTGGGGTGACGGAGTGGAGTGATGGTGTTGAGGAGGCCTAAAGCCCTGTCCCTTGGCAGTTTTGGTGAGGTCAGATCACGATAGGTATAAATCCCTGGCAGGAGAGACCCACAGTCATGGGACAGATGTACCGGAAAGCGGGAGCTAGTGTGAGGGGAAAGAAAATCTCAGGCTACTTTGGGTTCAAGCCTAAGGTGAGTTTTTTTTCTCTCCCTTGGTCAATGTGTTAACTCTTCAAATTGCTCCAGAAGGGGAAGAATGAGTGGGTGTCTCCCAGAAGAACAATCCTCCCAAGCCAGGAAGGTGTTGGGCAGGTAAGTTTTCCAGGCCCAGAGATGGAGCTCAGATTCTGTGTCTTAGGAAAAGCCTCCTCTGTCCGCCACACTCTCCTTCCTCTGGAGCCCAAGCTGCGAGCTCTGTGAAGCCATGGAGAGAACTGATATTGGGACTCATCCTGGAGTCCCCTTGCAATTATTATTAGGGTGCAGCTCACAGGCATGGGATTGAACTACTTCCTCCATCTATTCATTTTTCAAGGTGAAATATACAACACTTTTCCAATTATCTGCCTCCAAAAAACAAACAAAACAAAAACACAAAACAAAAAAGGCAGATATCTCCCGAGGACATACATTGTAATAGAAATCAGGATTTCTCATTCTATCAATCAGCCTCATTGTGTGGACACAAGACCCTGCGGACATATGTTAGGACTTTGATAAATGCACTTTAATGAGATCTTTGAAAATGCATCCAATAAAATAAAAGGCAAGAAAAGCCGTTTAACTTTCATGGATATTAAATTGAATACGAAATGTGGCTCCGGGCATGCTACAAAATGGAACCGGCCTACCTCCAGTATTTTCCTTAAAAACGCAGCTCTAAGCCCGCCTTGGGCCAAATTAGCCTGTCCCAGCCAATCCATTATCACCGGTTTGTCGGGGAACCAAACTACACGTCCCCCCGGGGCGAACCCCTTTGCTTTACTTGTTCGCGCTGCTCCAATGATTAAATATGTTACAATGAGATTACGCGGCGTCAGTGTTGCCTTTAGGAACGTTGGTCCAGCCGGGGCCGACCTTCCCCGATAAGGGCGATTTCAGTGTAGGAGATTGGGTTTCTCAAAGAAACACTGCGCTGAAAGCACGTCCTTATCTGAATCTACTTAACATGTGACAAAATCGTTTCCACAAGACTTCTTGTGGAAAACAAGCGGCCTCTTCTAATTGGTAGTATTCACCACTTAAAGCTGGGATGATGTGAAACGTAGTCATAGCCCGCGCGGGGAAGCCACGCTCTCAGCTGGCTTGGAATCTAGAAGGAAAAGGAACCGTCGCGCGAGGGCCCTCGAGCAGAAGAGGGAGGGGGGCCTGGGCGTCTCCCACTCATTTTTCCAGTCTGAGCACCAGAGATCCACAGCCCTCTTGACGCAACCTGCCCTTTGCACCTACAAGCCGCACCAACCTTGAGAAGGCGGGAGAGGCTCACCAAGGGGCCTCCTGGCTCCTTGTTGTGTGTGTGTGTGTGTGGGGGGGAGCAGAGCGGACGCCCCTCAGAGACCAAGACCGCAGTAGACCCCACTCAAGTTTATTCCTGATCCTCTGGCGATCTCTACTGACGCAAACGAGAACTGTCAACTGCCCGGTGCCGCCTGAGCTACACTCGCTCCCTCAAAGTCCAAGCTTGAGCCACCTCCCCCGTGACTATCGACTTCTGTTGGGCCTCAGCCCTGGTCCTTCCCGCTGGCGACTCCTTCCACTTACACCCCTTCTCCTCTTCACAGCCCCACCTCGTGCGTGGTCCAGTTCCGCCTGGGGAGAACCCCTTTCTCCACTAGATTCCATCTCCAAATTGGCTTCAGGACTCCTACCACTGCCTTAAATCCTGCTCTCGAGGACCCACGGTGCACAGGGGGAGACTTACCCTGCGGAGGTGAGGCAGAGGCGCGTCCTTGCTCACAGCGACTCGGGCGGCCGAGGAGCCCCCGGCTGGGACAGTTGGGAGTGGGCTGGCAAGACGTTCTACGCGCCCGCTCCGCCTCCCGCTCCAGCTGCGGCGACAGCCCCGTCGTGTTTCAAGGCCCGTCTTTATCTAGCAGTCCACCTACCCCGACCCCTGGTCACCGCGTCCCTCCCCCGCCGCACCCTCCCGGGCGGGGCTCGCTACCCCGCCGCGCCCCTCCTCCTCCCCTGCTTGCTGCCCCGCACCTGCCCAGCTCCCCACGGCAGCCGCATTTCCGCGGCCCAGCCAGAAAGCGCGCGGGGGCGGGAGCACCTGGCCTCGCGGCAGGTAAAACTTTTGCCCGCCGCGGGCGCGATGGGCGAGGCTGGGTACTTCCCCGAGTGCCTCTCCCCGCGGACCGCAGAGTCGGCGGAGGCCTGGACACCTAACGCTCGCCCACCTGATGCTTCCGGACTCCGGGGCTGGGTCGGAGCCGACCGGGACCCACGGGAGGGAGGGGCGCCCAAGCGGGCCGCTCAGGAGACCCCGAGCCGGGGCACAGCTTGGCGGCGACGGCCCTGAGACCCCTCTGCCCTGGCCCGCTGTGGGGCCCGTGTCCCGAGCGCGTCCCGGTCCCGCGCGGCTGTGGAGGCAGGCGCAGAGGCCGGAGCCAACAGCCATGGAGATGCCGGCTCCGCTGCTTCCCCGGCGGCTCTCGCGAGCGGGAGGCTCACCTGGAGCGCGGCTCCGCCGCTGAAGCTGGCGGCTGGGCGGGCGCGCAGAGCCCCTGCCGCTCTCACCCCGAGGCGCGGCCGCTCCGGGCGGCGGGCGGGCGCTCGGGCTGGAGCGCGGCTGGCTCGGCTCCCCCTCCCGGCTCGGCTCCCGGCCCCGCGGCAGCCGCGCAGCCTCGACGGAGGGGGCTGCTCCCCCGCACCGCGCGCGCTCTGTTTGTTTTCCTTGCTCGGCTGACGTGAGTCAAAATATTGGCCATATGTTCAGCGGTAATAAATTGGGTATGAGCGCAAACACACTTGGGCTTCGATGGCTCTTTCAGCTGCCACATGGCAGCTTGGTGGGAGGGGGATGCCACCTTGCCTGGGCCGCTACCGCCCAACCAGGCGTAGCTTCCCTCTGCCCAGCGTTCCTCCGAGCTGGAGATCTGGGACCCCCGGTATCTTCCTCTCCCGCGCCCCTCCTCCGTCGGTCCTCAGCCGTGCCTTGGACCTTGCAGCTCCCGGCGAGCCAAGGCTGCTGGTTAATAAGGTCGCCATCTATAAATTGCTCTGTCGCTAAGACGCCATAAAACCGAAGGGCCAGATGTGGCACGTTATTTATGTGTGAAACAGCGTTTACACTAGATACGCAGATCCAAGGCCGATAGCACGACTTCGCGGGAGGTCACAGACCTCTCATCCTGAGCTGCAGGCTCCTCCCCCTGCACACAACCGCCTCCAGATTGAGGGGATGTTCGTCTTTCTGGGAAAGGGTTCAGCTCTCACAGCCCAGGAAGAAAGTGATTTCAGTGCACTTGTGCCAAGGTGCCACCTGTCCAGGATTAGAGGCAGCCTCTGGGATTTAGTTCTGCATCTTTTCTGTACCCGTCCCCCCACAACACACACACACACACACACACACACACACACACACACACACACACACACACACACTCGGCCTGGGAGGCTTTTTTATTTTCCAGGCGTTTGATAGGTTCCATGGGACATTGGTCAGAGGGGAAAGATGGTATTTGAAAGCTGAAGATAGTCAACAGTGCCAGAGGGTGGGATTTGAGGGTGCTGAGCTCCTGAGCCCTGAGGAAGTATATTTTTGGGGGAAAGAACTGGGTGTGGGACAATTCACCTGGCTGTGGGGGCACCTGAGATGATGATGACGACGATGATGATGATTCTTGCCTCAAGCCCGACTGTGGACTCCAATGTCACATGTCATCCACCTTGTTTAAATTAAATGGCTGCCAAGGCACTCAGAGGCAATCCTGGCATTGGACACGAGATCCAAGCGGTCCTCTGTGCTTCAGGAAAAGGAGGTAAACACTGTGTAGTAATAGAATACAATTGTTTCGTGCTTTCTCCTCATGTACCCAAACTGGTCCCCTCACACTCTACTCACATGAATTCATTAAAAGTCATTGTCTCTCCTGTGCCATTATTTTACTGTTTCTTAAAGTGAACCAAATTCTTTCTGTAGTTAATAAGCACTGAGCCAGGCCCCCTACCTTCCTTTCATCTTCAAAACACCTGGGATTCCCTGAATGACATCTTCCTTCTGGCCAAGGAAAATAAGAGATGAAAAATGTTGCTCTACTGCAGGGAAAAACATAAGCATTTGACTTCACTATTACAAGTTACCCTGAGTCTGTGTTCACTTGATGACTGTCCTTAGGTGGCAGTTAAGGGTGGGAAAATGATGCTATTGAAAGGGGGTGGGAGGGAAGGGAAGACTGGCTATGGGGTGGGGGTGGGGAGGAAGAACATATTCAACAGCAAAAAAGCTGTCGGATGAACCTCTTCACCTTGGTGCTGAGCACAGACTGCCTGTCTTGATCTGTTCTTATGGGCCCTAAAGTGAACTCCAGAAATCTTTAGTTACTGCAGAGAAATCTGGGGGTACATCCAAGCCTTTATGGAACTGGTAATCTTGGACAGTTCCCTCTGCATCTCACTCTTTTTTCTTGGATTTTAAGTCTTTATTTATGGTCAGAAATCTAAATTTAGGGTGTGTTTCTGGATTTACATCACCTCCAAGTGTAAATTCTGGGACCACTGATGAATAGCTTCTTTGGGTGAAAATATTGCTTCATGCCCAAAATTGGACAAGGTGATTTGAAGGCAGACCTTCACATCTGTAGTTCTCCTGGAATGTGTATATTTGTCTAACATTTGCCCTGTGCAGGGGGTGTTTTTTCTTCTCATGTTACTGATACCTGCTACATAGTGATTGGAGGTGCCAACAACAAGCTTAGAAAGATAGAGTGTGGTGTTCTTAGGGTGTAAAACTAAAAGACGTGAAACAAAGAATACATCAAGTCAGTCTTTATATCATCCCCTATTTAGGAAACCCTAGTGTACCAAGGTGTCAACTAGGTAACTGATGATAAAAAGCCATTACAAAGGAGATGCAGTGGGGAGCAAAATTTGAATGAAATACGCGTATTTAGATGTAACTCACTTTTCTCTCTTTGGTCTTATCTAACAACCCACTGCTAAACTTGATACACTTAAGTATCCCCAGACCTAAACAGATTTCATGCAGTGTCTTTTCTTAGTTCCATAGTCTTTTATATTATTATTACTTCAGAGACATTCCTGTTTTACCTATAGAGTCAAAATTCATGGACATTTCACACTGGAAAAACCTTCTTCCACAAAGTTCCCTGAAGGTGTTACGAGCCACAAGGTGCTTGTGGTGTTCCCTTCGGGGAGTAAGCAGTTCTTGGTACTTACAAGTCAAAATCAACCACAGTAAACTTCAGACTACTTTTATCTGAGCTAGGACATAGTTACATTGTCTCTAGAAGTGTTGTGCAGCAATTCCCACAGATTTCCTCACTCCTTACAGCTTCTTGGCCACTATGCAGTCCAGCCAATCCAGGAAGGCAGATGCCTGCCCTCTTGCTTCACCTGAGCATCCTGCATGGTGGCTGGAGTGGCTCCACGGAGAGGAGAGCAGAAATAGACTCAGAGGAGAGGGAATGCCCCTCACCCCAACAGTGGGGGGCTGTCAGGAAGCTCTGTGTACCCTGCAGATATTATCAGAATGCAAAATGGGGTGCAGAGGAGCATCTGTAGATGGGTGTTGCCCCTTCCAGTGCCTTCAAGAAGTGAAAGGCTGAGCTCATGTGACACAGAATCCTGGTCCACTTATTTGAAAGCAGGCCTGGTTCTTTTCCTCTGGTGCATCCCTCAGCATAACCAAAAGCAGAAGGTATGTTCTTATGAGACTCTTAGGCCTCCAGAAATTGAGAATACCAGCTCCTTTTTAACTCCTTCAGAGGACTGGGGTGCGCAGACATAGCTGGACACAGATCATTTTGTTAAAACCTTGGCAGTGGCCAATTTGGCAACATGTGCCAAATCTTCAAGAAGTAAAAGGCAAGTGCATCTAAAGACAGAAACTAGATTACTGGCTGCCTAGGTTTGGGGGGGCATAGGGAGGTTGGAGAATTATGACTAAGGGGGACAGATTTCTTTTTGGGGTAATGAAAATGTTAAAAAATATGATTGTGGTGATGGTCGTACAACTCTATAATATACTAAAAGCCATTGAATTGTATACATTAAATTGGGTGAATGTATTGTATGTGGACTATAGCTCAATAAAGCTGTTTAAAAATCAAATGCATCTCTTTTTTCACCAGTACTAGAAGGTGCTGCAAGGTGCTAGAAGCTAGGAGGGGATGCAGGAGTTGGGGGAAGACAAGTGATCCTGAAAATTGTTTTTTGTTTTCCCAATTTGTTATCTGGATATTTTCAAGCACATAGAAAATTTGAAATAATAGCAGAGTGAATATTGTATATCCAGAGTGAATACTATATATCAAGAACCACTAACATTTTGTCCCATCTGCTTAATAAGTCCATATAAATACATTTTTTTTTTTGTTGAACTAAGTGGAATCAAGGTTGTAGACATCACAAAACTTCCTTGTCCATTTCAGCAAGTGATCTGAGGGATCATCAATACTTTGGCATTGTTTCAGTATTCTTTGTCACTGTGCAAAGATTCCTATGTTCCCCAATAACTTTCATTGTCTGAATTCTATTGTTCTTTCTACATGTACTTTTGGTATTTTTCTGTAAAGAGAAACTTCCTTTCTCTCCCAACATGGACTCATGTAATTAAAATTTTTAGTATGTTACAATCAACTAACACCATTCTTTTGATCTCAAATCATCCAAATTGTCCAGTGCACAGAAATGCACTAGAAAGTGCTGAGGGAAAAGTCAGAACAACAACAAAAAATGGTGAGAAACCTGGAGGAACCCATGAACTTGCAGAATTCATGGTTCTCAGTGTTTCTCAGTGATTCTTGTTCTCACAGAAGACTTCCTGTGTATATTTCTGACCAAGAATGAATGGCTTATCACCAACCATAAAAAAGCTCTTATTCCACAGTTTTGGGAGCTCGAATGTGTTACAGATTAAAAACAATCCAAATACTGAATGTATCTTAAGTATCACATTATTAAAACAATGTGAAGCAAAAGAGATTGATTTTAAGGAACTGGTTCAAGTGATAGAGGCTGGCAAGTCCAAAATCTTCCCAGTGGGCCAGCATGCTGGAGACCCAGGCAAGAGCTGAAGGTTTAATTCAAGTTTGAAGACCACCAGCCTGGAGAGCTCCTTCTTGCTCTGGAGAGGGATACATGTCTTTTGTTCTACTCAGGCCTTTAACTGATTGGATGAGGAACACCCGCATTATGGAGGGCATTCTGCTTTACTCAAAGTCCACCAATTTAAATGTCAAACTCATTCAAAATAACATCACAGACATATCCAGAATAATGTTTGACCACATATCTGGGCCCTGTGTCTCAGCCAAGTTGACACGTAAAATTAACCATCACACCCACTGATTGACGGATAATGGAAATTCTGCCTCAGGACCTATGAGTGTTGTGATGCCAGCAATGCCATGTCCCATGCCCCAAATCCTGTTCTTTCTGTCTCATGGCATTGTCTTGGACTCTTGCTATGTTATTCCTGGTAAGTAGTCTTCATTATAACTCAGACATTGGATGCACTTCCTATAAGGCAAATCATGTGACCAAGATAACACCATTTGCAGCCCCCCCCCCCAAATATCCAGTTGTTTGAAGATGGGAGGAAAATCAAAGAACTTGTTTTGGGTTTGAAAGGCAAAATTAGCCCTGCTTTTAGACTGAATACACAAGATCCCCAAGACTTTAGTCATGCTAGAGTAAACCTAGGCTTGCAGGACACCTTCAACAGTGGAATACTGATCATGTTGGTGTTTTCATTCTCTGAATGAATTAAGAGGCCTGACAACATGTGTAAGGCCACGTGATAGCCTTCTTTCCCAATAGGGATACTGGATTCCAAGAACCATGCAAATCTGGGGTAAGACATGTTTAATATTGAGCTAATTGTTGGAAGAGAATGACGAGAACTGTGAAGTGTAAAATCAACTCCAATTTTGGGCCATTTTGTGTAGTTACCATTTAACTTCTGGCAGGTGTAGGGGATTGGATCTGAATGGCATATATTTTATTGAACATTTGCTGTGGTCCCAACACTGTGTCAAGGTCCTATATATGTATCATTTCATTTAATAATAAATGAATAACGTCATGAGGTAGAGGATACCAACTATTA